CACACACACCTTCCTCTGTCCCTGCCCCGCCCTCCACACACACACCTTCCTCTGCCCCTGCCCCGCCCTCCACACACACCTTCCTCTGTCCCTGCCCCGCCCTCCTCCACACACACCTTCCTCTGCCCCTGCCCCGCCCTCCACACACACCTTCCTCTGCCCCTGCCCCGCCCTCCTCCGTCCCCTGCCCAGTGTCTGCCCTGCCCTCCACACACACCCTGCCCAGTGCCCCCCTGCCTTACCTGCCAACCTGGTACGTGGGGACGGCGGTGGTGCCGAAGCGCTGCATGCCGTAGTAGTTGATGAAGCCGGTGTCCCTCAGCGAGGTCATGGCCTGCTGCACCTGCGCGTCTGAGCCCGAGATATTCCTGCCGGCGGGGCAGCGAGAGGCAGGTGTGAGCGCGCTGCCCACTCCACTCCGCTGCCAGCCGCACCGGCCTCCCGCTAGCAGACGGAGACACCCCACCCCCCAGGCTGCCCACCACTGACCTGATGACCACAGTGAAGTGGTTGCCCTGGAGCTCCCCTAGTTTCAGGGGGTGCTTCTTGTACGAGAAGTTCCCCAGCTTGAAGTTCATCAGGCACTTGTTGAGGTGAGACAGTCTCTGAGCGCTGATCCTGCGAAGGAAAGAGGCAAATGTCCACTGAACTACTAAAACTTACTTAACACTCCCCCATGTTGAAATCCAACAGCTTTGTTTGCAACAGGATCACTGAACAGATGATCTAACGAAACACATTAATGAAATGATCCTATTGCTCGATGTACAGTGCTTCAGTGGTTCTGCTCCTCACCCTTAAGAAAGTACACCTGATCCACAATCCACTTCTCCGCATAGAAAAATGCTTTTAACATCCTGAACAGAAAGCAGCTCAGACTAGGTTGACCCACACGGATTACAAACAACCTAAGCTGCAAGTTACCCCACAAGGAGACAAGCACACATTCAGCCCTGAACTGTCTCCAGCCAGCAGTACGAGCAATGTCTTCAGTTCGTGGCTTGTGGCATGCCGTACTGGGGTATAATGGAAAGCAACTTTTCAGATTGTGGCACCAGTTTTGCTGCCAAGTGCAGGTCAATCTACTGAATGACCCACCTACAGCTACATGTAAATGAAACTTAACTTGGGAGGACTGTCCAAACCAGGGGTCTCCAAGCCTGCTCCTGGAGATCCCCAGTCCAGACAGGCTTATAGGTCACCTGCTCCCAGACTCAGATCAAGACCACCTGCAAGCTATTGATTAATAAGGCAAGTACTGTGTATAAATAAGCAAACTCTGGTCATTATTTAGGGCTGAAGGGTACACGGATATTGGTTTACACCAAACATCTATTTCATTGATCACAACTGATGTTTCAAGTCTCTAGAAATGATGATTTAATAGCAAACTGTGAAACCTGCCAGACTGGGGCTCTTTATAACCAGAATAGTACAACCCGATATAAACTCAGACAGATACACTTTTCAGCAGGAGTAGGACAATCAAACCCATCTCAACAGATGGGTCAGGTCAAGACCAGAGCCCAGCAGGTCACTCAAACCCATCTCAA